TTTAATATTAAATTTCTTTTTCTTATATATAACTCTGTCTTACAACTTTTTAAATGTTGGGGTATTAAAATTTTCTTGGATATTCAATAAGTCTTTAAGAGTTGTTAGAATGATTAAAAAAAAAAAATGTACAAGCCATCAGATTATATATAGATAGGGTAATTATCAAAAATAACACGCTTAACTTTTTGTTTTCTATAAATACCACTTAAGTTTTTGTATTTCAAAAATACCACTTAAATTTTGTTTTTTCAAAAATACCATAAAATAACTAAAATTTAACTTTCAAAATTCAAAATTAAAACTTAAACATTAAACCCTACACTTTTAAAATTATACTATTTTTGGAATACAACCACTTTCGTCGGTATTTTTGAAACATCAAACTAATAGTTATATTTTCTGAAACAAAACTTGAAGGTATGGTATTTTTAAGAATTGCAAGGTATAATAGGATGTAAAGATAAACCATGCAATTGATACAAATTGGATGTAAATAAATTATAAGATAGAAGCATGAGTTTTATAAAGTGTGTCTTGTTGGAAAAATATACACACTAATAATAATAGTTGATTTTTCAATCATCAGTTTTCTATTTTCGTTGATTTAAAGCATGAACTCTGCACATGATGATTAAAATGCTTAATTTTATGTTGATTTTCAATTTAATCATGAATTTTCGTTGACAAAAGCCAATTAAAGCACAAAATCGAAATCGAAAAAAAAATCTTGATGAGAAACTAAGATTAAATCGGGATTTGTGAAAAAATCCAGAAGATTAAAGAGGAAATCGAGAGAATTTTTAATTTGAAAATTCTAATTTTGATATCAATTTTCTTATTTCGATACCGATATTGTGCCTCAATTGGCTTTGTCAACGAAAATTCGTGATTAAATTGAAAGTCAACATAAAATTAAGCATTTTAATCACCAGGTACAGAATTCATGCTTTAAATCAACGAAATTGAACAACTTATGATTTAAATGACATTTTTCCCATTGATTTTTATGTGACCTTCTCACAGACAAGATGGAAATTTGGTCCTTGATTTTGTCCTTGTTTCACTGGTTCAAGACTAAGATTTATACCAACAATATTCGCTTAATTTGATATTTTACTATTAACATTACTTTAGGTACATTGAATTACCCTTTTTTACCCAACAAACAATATTGAATTAGTCTTTACATTTTATTTTTTTTGTCAAACAGTCTTTACATTTTATAAGTTAAATCTATTCCAAAAGACCAAGGAAATTCGAAAATAACCAACACTGTACACGTAAAAAAGAAATATATTTTCTAGATATAGCAGTCAATCTAAAATAAACGCAAACGTTTACATAGAAGACTTGTTCGTGTTTGTTGTGATTTTTAATATCAAGGCTAATTAAGCAAGTCTTCCAGTAAACGTAAACTTGACGTAGTCATAAATACCTTACATAAAGTATGCTCTAATTTTACCTACGTCATAACAGATTTGCAAAAGATGTTGTATCTCTCTCTATCTAAGAGATATCTAGAAGACAAAGATATAAATATCTGACATAAATCTGCTAAAATATCTTTTATATAAGATTAATTTCTTTTTTTTCAGAAAATAAAATATTTGTTTGGCTTCATGTATATAATGTTTGGATGGCGGTTTTGTAGATACTGACAAGTTGACTAATAATAATTTTAGTTATTGTCAAAATAAAAAGTTATTAGAAAATAGTGAAAAACAAGACATCTTTTAATTTTTTTGTCATGAAGTTCGAACCTAGACTCTAGTATTCGTGGATCCAAAAATAGTCTTTAGTCTATCTTTCGGAAATATTCCTTTTCGCAAGTGAACTCATACTAGGATTCTTTTCTCTTACGGAAACCACTAGATCAAGAACCAACCAGTTTGGTGCCTTTATAACGATGGCATAACGGCTGCAAATTATCGTACTTTGTCACCATTCACATATACTAGTGTAGGCGATCGAACACCCTAGATTTACTATGTTTGAGATGTTTCTATTAGGAATGTGGCCTAATTTAATTCAAATGCTAGCTCAAGAGTTAAGGATTGCTACATCCTATATATATTGCCCAAATATCTTAATCCCAAGCAATGTGGGACATTCTAATAGGCCTCCTCGAGATGTGGGTAGGAAACGGTCCAACGGAAAACAGCCCAAGCCCAACATCTCGGAAATACAACAAGACATGCCACTTATATGGGCCACATAGGTGGAAAAACATTTTGCTTAGATTAAGATCTTTGGGTAGTATATAAAGGATGTGACAATCCTTAACTCTTGAGCTAGCTTTTAGGTTAAGTTAGGTTATATTCCTAATAGTTTCACTTTCACTCATAGCACAAAAGATAATTTTCGTTTCACTACTAAAAGAAAAAATTTAACTTTTTTTTAGAACTATCGTACATTGACAAGTTTTATTTAACTAAACAATTCTTGTCGAAAAAACCTTGTTTATTACTCAAAGTACTAAAAAAACTAGCACATGTTTGTTAGTCATTATGAATCAATAGAAGCTTAACAAGCCTATATATTTAGTAGTATTATTGAGATCCATGTCAGCCATTCCATGTTAACTTTTTGAATGTAACTATGAGTTCTCTGATTTGGGAAAAATACGGCTTCTAAGCCTTGTTAATTAAACTACCATTTGTTGCAGTGGAAATAGTCGTGTCTCGTATGTAGGAAACTTCTTGACTCTAGAAGTTGATTTAAAGATAACACTATTATAAATCAATATAAGCTATGGCTATGGTTTTGACTTTTGCGTATGAAGTCATGCATGCAAATCCAATTTTAAATTAAAGATATATAGATTAAGTTATCGATAGACTTGTTAAACGTTTTTGAACTGCCACTTTGAAACATGCGAATTACAAATTTATAGAAATATCTTTGGACCACGTCAAATATGACATGCGCTTTTGTCCTATAAATACTGAGCTCAAATGCTTCACAATTCACAACCAACACACACAATTATAAAAGTCTTTTAAAAGCATTAGCATAACCTTTTCTTTGAAAATGAGGGTTCCCATGTCTCTCGTCTTGATTACCATATCAGCTTTGGTCATTTCCTTTGCCGAAGCTTCTGATCCAAGTCCACTTCAAGACTTCTGCGTGGCCATTGGTGACCTCAAAAATGGTGGTAAGTATAAAACTCAAATTCTTGAACTCTCAACTAATTATTATTCTCCTTTATTATTTTGTAAGTTCGATTCTCTTCAACTAAATTATTACTCTCAATATTTGTACTTGCAGTTTTTGTGAATGGTAAGTTCTGTAAGGATCCGAAGCAAGCGAAGGCAGAAGATTTCTTCTTTGCAGGCCTCAACAAGGCAGGAAACACTACCAATAGAGTCAAATCCAACGTGACAACGGTCAATGTCGACCAGATTCCCGGGTTAAACACATTGGGAATATCCTTGGTCCGCATAGACTATGCGCCTTATGGACAAAACCCGCCTCACACGCACCCTCGTGCCACTGAGATCCTTGTTCTTGTCGAGGGAACATTATATGTAGGTTTTGTCTCTTCCAATCAAGACAATAACCGTTTATTCGCCAAAGTGCTGAACCCCGGCGACGTGTTCGTGTTCCCCATTGGAATGATCCATTTCCAAGTGAATATCGGGAAGACCCCCGCAGTGGCCTTTGCTGGACTAAGTAGTCAGAACGCTGGTGTTATCATGATCGCAGACACTGTGTTCGGGTCAACGCCCCCAATTAATCCAGATATTCTCGCTCAGGCATTTCAGCTAGATGTCAACGTTGTCAAGGATCTTGAAGCCAAGTTTAAAAACTAAATCTAGTCACCAACAATACGAGTATTTATTGTTTTAACACTTAATGATGTATCACGAATTAAAGGTTTATGCTTAATAAAATAAAAAGGTGTTTATTACCTGATTTGATATTTAATATTAAATTTCCCTTTCCTATATATAACTCTGTCTTACAACTTTTTAAATGTTGGGGTATTAAAATTTTCTTGGATATTCAATAAGTCTTTAAGAGTTGTTAGAATGATAAAAAAAAAAAAATGTACAAGCCATCAGATTATATATAGATAGGGTAATTATCAAAAATAACACACTTAACTTTTTGTTTTCTATAAATACCACTTAAGTTTTGGTTTTTCAAAAATACCACTTACATTTTACTTTTTCAAAAATACCATAAAATTAACTAAAATTTAAGTTTCAACTTTCAAAATAAAAACTTAAACATTAAGCCCTACACTTTAAAAATTATACTATTTTTGGAATACCAACACTTTCGTTGGTATTTTTGGAACATCAAATTGATAGTTATATTTTATGAAACAAAACTTGAAAGTATGGTATTTTTAAGAATTTCAAGTTATAATAGGATGTAAAGATAAATCATGCAATTGATACAAATTGGATGTACATAAATCAAAGTATCATTTTGATAGAGGCTTGAGTGTTATAAAGCGTGTCTTGTTGGAAAAATATATACACAAATTATAATAGTTGATTTTTATGTGACCTTCTCACAGACATGATGGAAATTTGGTCCTTGATTTTGTCCTTGTTGCACTGGTTCAAGTCAAGACTAAGATATATACCAACTATATTTGCTTAATTTGATATTTTACTATTAACATTACTTTTGGTACATTGAATTACCGTTTTTCCCCAACAAACAACATTGAATTATTCTTTACATTTGATAAGTTAAATCTATTCCAAAAGACCAAGGAAATTGGAAAATAACCAACACAGTACACGTAAAAAAATTATATTATCTAAGCTATAGCAGTCGATCAAAAATAAAAGCAGACGTTTACATAGAAGTAGGCCTGGGCAATCGGTTTTATCGGTTTGTTCGGTTCGGTTTATTCGGTTTTTCGGGTTTTTCGGTTTTTAAAATTTCTGCCGAATTGAACCAAATAAAAATTCGGTTCGGTTCGGTCGGTACTCGGTTTGTTCGGTTCGGTTATAGGCCAAAAAATCAATTCCGAAATAAACCGAAATTTTTTCCAATTCGGTTAATTCGAACCGAATTAGACCAAAATAAAGATAATGGGCTTTTAATAAGCAAAATTTTACGGTTACAAACGAGTAAAATAATGGGCCATGACTAATTACAGAGTTAAGCCCAAATAAAACTAAAACCCAAGTTCAAAAAAAAAATTAGGGTTGATAGACTCGCCGCTACTCTCTTCCTCCGCTGTGACAGTGACGGCGACGAGATGGCGGTGTCATCAAACAATGCGATCTCTCCGAATAAACCCTCAACGAAAGCTATCATACCATCGTCAAAATCACATGCAGTAAGAATCCAATATCTAAAATTGAGAAAATAGGAAAAGAAAAACAAAATTGAAAATCGATTAGATCTGAAGTTTTACATGCCGTGTGTTTGGTGACGAGGAGGAGCGTAACGGCGACGCCAGCGATAAACGGCCAAAACATTTCGAATCTGAACCACAGACTCGATGTCGGAGAGAATGATTCAAAATAGCCATGGGTTAGGATGATATGGCCAACAACGTTTCAAATCTCTCTTGAATAACACTTGCCATGGATTGATGTCGAGGCTGAGAAAGAAGAAGAGAAGAAAAGAGATGGAGAAGAAGAAGAAGAAGCTATAAAGTTAATGAAGGAATGAGAAGAGATCGAAGGAGAAAAGAAGAAAGGAGATGGACATGAAGAAGCTATAGAAAATAGATCTAGGGTTTTTGTTTTTTATATGGGTGTCTATTAACCGATAAAACCGATCGGTTATCGTCTGTCGAACCGAACCGAACCGAGAACCGAAGTCTAATTATAATTCTGCCGATCGGTTTAGCCTTTCCTTCCTTATCAGTGGCGAAAACCGAAAAAATCGGTTTGTTCGGTTCGGTTAATTCGGTTTATTCCGATTGCCCAGGCCTACATAGAAGACTTGTTCGTGTTTGTTGTAATTTTTTAATACCAAAGCGCTGATTAAGCAAGTCTTCCGGTAAACATAAACTTGACGTAGTCATAAATAACTTACATAAAAGTATGCTCTAATTTTACCTACGTCATAACAGATTTGCAAAAGATGTTGTATCTCTATCTAAGATATATTCCCTCCGTTTCATTTTACTTGTCGTTTTAGAGTTAAAATTTTGTTTCATAATAGTTGTCGTTTTAGGTTTTCGATACAAATGTTTGGTGAAAATTCCAGTTTTATCCCTACTGTTTTAATGTTTCGGCCAATGAATTCTTTTATAAAATATATTAATAAAGGGTAAAACAGAAAATTTAATGTTTTTCTTAATTTGTGTGAGAAAACCTTAAACGACAACTAAAACAAAACGGAGGGAGTATCTAGAAGACAAAGATATAAATCTGCTAAAATATCTTTTATATAAGATTAATTTCTTTTTTTGGAAAATGAAATATTTGTTTGGCTTCATCTATATAATGTTTGGATGGCGGTTTTGTAGATACTCACAAGTTGACTAATAATTTTAGTTATCGTCAAAATAATAAGTTATTAGAAAAATGAAAAATACTTGGTCTACCCTAGGGGGGTGAACATTTATATTCACCCCTTTTATTTTATCCAATCAGAATCTGCCACCTAATAATAATAATTTTTTTTAACTATAAAATCTAATTTGCCACTAAAATGAATGAAATTATGTATCGATTTGGATTTATTACAAAAGATTAGGATTTAGATTTTATGATTAAACAAATATCGGTTTGGGTTTATAAACGGATTTAGATTTTACAATTAAACAAGGTTAAATGTCGGTTTGGGTTTAGAAAGTACGAATTAGGGTTTAGATTTTTTACGATTAAACGAGTTTAAATGGCAGTTTGGGTTTACAAAGGAAAATTAGGGTTTAGATTTTTTACGATTAAACGAGTTTAAATGGCGGTTTGGGTTTACAAAAGAGAATTAGGGTTTAGATTTTGTAATTAAACGAGATTATATATCGGTTTGAGGTTACAAAAGAGTGGTTATGGATTAGATTTAATAATTAAATGAGTTTAATTTTTTATTATGTGGCGAATTCTGATTGGTTAAGATAAAAGGGATTCTCCCTAGGAGTGAACCCAAGTATTGCTAAAAAAAAAAAGCGAAAAACAAGACATCTTTTAATTTTTTTTTGCCATGAAGTTCGAACCTAGACTCTAGTATTCGTGGACCCAAAAATAGTCTTTAGTCTTTCGGAAATACTCCTTTTCGCAAGTGAACTCATACTAGGATTCGTTTCTCTTACGGAAACCACTAGTTCAAGAACCAGTTTGGTGCATTTTTAAAGATGGCATGACAACAGCTGCAAATTACCGGACTTTGTCACCATTCACATATAGTATAAGCGAACACCGTATATTACTATGTTTGAGATGTTTAACTTTAATTCACTCGTAGCACAACAGATAATTTTCGTTTCACTACTAAAAGAAAAAGTTTTAAAATATTTTAGAACTATCGTATATTGACAAGTTTTATTGAACTAAACAATTCTTGCCGAAAAAACCTTGTTTATCACTCAAAGTACTAAGAAAAATAGCATATGTTTGTTAGTCATTGAAAATCAATAGAAGCTTAACAAGCATAAATTTATATTAGTAGTCTTATTAAGATCCATGTCAGCCATTCCATGTTAACTTTTTGAATGTAACTATGAATTCTCTGATTTGGGGAAAATATGGCTTATTTGCCTTGTTAATTAAACTACCATTTGTTGCAGTGGAAATAGTCGTGTCTGGTATCTAGGAAACTTCTTGACTCTAGAAGCTGATTTAAAGATAACACTATTATAAATCAATACTATGGGTATGGTTTTGCGTATATAGTCAGGCAAATCCAATTTTAATTAAACATAGATTTAAGTTATCGATAGACTTGTTAAACGTTTTTGAACTGCCACTTTGAAACATGCGGCGAATTACAAATTAATAGAATATCTTTGGACCACGTCAAATATGACATGCGCTTTTGTCCTATAAATACTGAGCTCCAATGCTTCACAATTCACAAGCAACACACACATTTATAAAAGTCTTTAAAAAGCATTAGCATAACCTTTCGTTTGAAAATGAGGTTTTCCAAGTCTCTCGTCCTGATTACCTTATCGGCTTTGGTCCACTTCAAGACTTCTGCGTGGCCATTAGTGACCTCAAAAATGGTGGTAAGTATAAAACTCAAATTCTTGAACTCTCAATTAACTAATTATTATTCTCCTTTATTATTTTGTAATTTGGAAATTGAAATAAAAGGTTTTTCTAATTAATATTTCTACTTGCAGTTTTTGTGAATGGTAAGTTCTGCAAGTATCCGAAGCAAGCGAAGGCAAAAGATTTCTTCTACTCAGGCCTCAACCAGGCAGGGACCACTAATAATAGAGTCAAATCCAACGTGACAACGGTCAATGTCGACCAGATTCCAGGGTTAAACACTTTGGGAATATCCTTGGTCCGCATAGACTATGCGCCTTATGGACAAAACCCACCTCACACGCACCCGCGTGCTACTGAGATCCTTGTTCTTGTCGAGGGAACTTTGTATGTAGGTTTTGTCTCTTCCAATCAAGACAATAACCGTTTATTCGCCAAAGTGCTGAACCCCGGCGACGTGTTCGTGTTTCCTATTGGAATGATCTATTTTCAAGTGAATATCGGAAAGACCCCGCAGTGGCCTTTGTTGGACTAAGTAGTCAAAACGCTGGTGTTATCACGATCGCAGATACTGTGTTTGGATCAACACCTCCGATTAATCCAGAGATTCTGGCTCAAGCATTTCAGTTAGATGTGAATGTTGTCAAGGACCTTGAAGCCAAGTTTAAAAACTAAATCTAGTCATTACGACACGAGGTTAAACTTCCGATATATAATATTCAATTTATCCAAATTTCAGCTCAAGCAGGAATCCAAAATCCATCTAAGGAATGTTAAACTTCCGATACTTTTACACGATCGATCAAATGATTATCTACATTGCAGAATGATTTTTTTTCTTTCTAAGAAACCTATAACCTGTAAAAACTAGAGAAAGGATCTAGCATGTAATAACAATTACTATAGCATATACAAATGTTACAACAAAACAATATGCAACACTGAACCAATGCTATAATAATAAAGCAATATATTAGCATTAATACAAAAAGCTATGGTAAGACAGACCAAATAATAGCATGTAATAACAATGCTATCATAAAACTTATATAGCGTCAAAATAAATTGCTATTAAAGATGGTAAAATATCATAGCAAGTGCAAATCAACGCTACTATAGATGAAAAATATCGTAGCATTATCTAACCGCTCTAATAAGGATGCGACCTATTATAGCTGCGACGAACACAGCATTTGATAATGAGCTATTAATCACTTTTAATAGCGTTAATCGTATGCTAACAATATTAATATTTCTTGTAGTGGGATTAAACCTACAAAAAAAATAATTTTTGACTCCAATAAAAGACACAACAAAAATAAAAGAACGGTAAAACGTAGTACATCACTCTAGCATTGAAGATTGCATGTTCTTGTTCTTCTCCATCCGAGTAAATTAGACTATTGCAAGATGACACACTGTATGAGAAAAATTAAAAGTACTTAACTCAATAAGGTTATATAAATAACCCAAACCATTATCTCACTGGTTTATATTATCGATGTCGATGTGTCACAATCTAAATTTAAACTCACTAGTTACTATAAGCAGGGCCGGTCCGGTTAAATCCGGGGCCAAATACGAAAAAAAAATTTGGAACATTTTTAAGAGATAAAAAATGCTAAAACATTTTTTCGCCAATTATGGGGTATTAATAATTTTTATTTAATAATTTTTCTTTTTTTTGGACATTGTTTGCTAATTATAGGATTTTTTTGCTAATGATGGGGTATTTTTTTGCTATTTATGAGACATTTTTGCTAATGTTAGAATTTTTGTTTGCCAATTATGAGGCCTATTTTACAAATTATGAGGTGATTTAGCTAATTTTGAGGTTTATTTTACTATTTGTGGGTTTTTTTTAAAAAAAAAAAAAAAAAACTTTCCCACAAAATGGGCCTCAAATTTTTGAGGCCCAACACAAATGTATCGTACAAATCTGTCAAGGGCCGGGCCTGACTATAAGAAAGTAGATCTTTATGATATAGTTTTTCATGCATGGATACCTAATCAGGTGATAAAAGTTGGTATAAAAGATAAAACTACTCTTTGTCCAAAAAAAATAAGAAGATAAAACTGCTCAAATAAAAGAATCAAATAAGTTGCGAAAACAAACCATAAAATATTAATATTTAATTTATTTTTCGCAAATATAAAATAAGGTTGCATCTGTTTGCTGATAAATCACATCTAAAGTCATAAATATTAATCTTTTTAAATAAAAAATTGTATAAGGAAAATTTCACCATTGAAATTTTTTTCTTCTTCATAACTTTAATCTATCTGGGTAAACAAACTAACTAACTTCAATCTCTTAAAACGAGCCAAAAACCACGTAAATCATGCTATTGATTTTTTTTTTTAATAAACAGGATATAAAGATAAAGCATGCGATTGATACGAAATGGATGTAGATAAATCAAAGTATCATTTTGATACAAGCATGAGTTTTATAAAGTGTGACTTGTTGGAAAAAAATATACACAAATTATAATGGTTGATATTTGT